ATTAGAAGAATGTTTCCTCCTATTAGGAACAAAGTTAGAGGTAATCAATGATAAATTAGGCTGGAAACAAACAATGAAAACATACAGGTAGTTACTGTCTAATTAATGACATTCAGTTTTAAGTGTGTTGTTTCCATGATAATATTATCTTTAGCTACTGTAGCATCTTACACATAGTAAAACAATTCTAAACATTCACCAACCATGATGTTGATAGATTTACCTTTTTAAATAATTGGCATATGATTTGCATCTCATACATTTTAATAGTTCAGTCATATCGAAAAGAGTTGTGCGATCATCACCCCAATCAGTTCTACAACTTTTTTTCTTCTTGTACTCAGTATTAGCATCCCTTTACCCTCTGACCTGCCCTCTCATACCTCAAAAAGTCATTAATCTAGTTTCTGTCTCTAGGTTTACCAATCCTGGATTTCATATCCTGGAAAACACACACACACACCCCTACACTCACATAAGACCATAACAATAACAAAATAAACCAGAGGAAAACCTCAATTGAAAAGAAAACAGGAAATATGAAAACCTGGAACAAATTTAAAATGGGTCAAAAGGGAGATCAAATGAACAGGTATGAAATGTTAACCTAATTACACCTGCCATAATCAGTTTACAATGCTCTCCATTTGGTAGCAAGGCTATTCATATCCCCCGACTATAGTCAGAGGGGATTCACTGGAGACTTAATCAATGTAGGGACCTTCAGATGGATTTGGGGCTCCCACTGTCATCCATAGCCTTCTGAAAATGAGGTGTTAACAGTTTAAACTCTGATACCATTCCTTCCTTTGGATTTGGATTTTGTTATTTATAATCCTTGAATCGCACAGGTTGGTGTGCTTCTTCCATGTGGCTCAGTTGATGCCTCACTTAGATGGCTGCTTGTGTGAAAGAAAGCAAGCCTTTTTGGATAGCAGGGCACCATCTGGTTTCTTCACCATACTTTCCTATAGCAGTGATCTCTTCATGAGGGCAAGCATCAAGCAGGGCAATGTCATAAGAACTACTTGTTCTCAGATTGGGCTAGAATTAAGTGCAAGCCCCAAATCCATTCATAAATCTATGGCTTGTATCTCTCTGGTTCACTTTAGAGGACTCATTATCATTTTATGATAGAGGACATTTTCAATCATCTCCCTTGAATAGAAGGTAGTTCTGTTGATA